ATACTCTTGAACAGGATATTTGCCATATTCTGCTAACACTGCAACATTCTTTAAAATCCATAAAATATAATGCAATCTAGTATATTACATGAAATACCACAGTATCTCCTCCAAGTTAAGTTCCGTATAACTGTGTTATAATCAATAGCCTGGCTCTTGCCAGACCCTTGTAGTTCCGCCATGGTCCACCAGAGGCGCCTGGCTGAACAGCGAACTACATGGGTCTGGCAAGAGTCAGTCTAATCAAGGAGATGGCCTCTTGCTACGTCTGTTGTCCTTAACTCAACTTCTACATAAACATATTTCACGGCTGAACAACCTTATCTAACTGGGTTTAAATCCCTCTTGTCCTAACTGGTAGATAACTATGAATCGTATTTTGGACACTGCATGTGAGCGTGGGTTTCGTGCACATTTCCAGGCCACATGAAAAACCCGAAGAGACCTTTTCCTTGATCACATCTGATGTTTTCTCTATACATTCATAGGCACTGCCTCTCCAGCCCATGGAAAGCCGTCACAGCATTGAACAAAAAGACTGGAAATGGAGTTATTGAGGTCCCATGAATAATTGATCATTGACACCAGCTCCTCTTCTCCGCACATTCTCACCACAGCTGCTCTCAGACTCGGACCTGTCCCATAGAACCTTACCTCACTGTCCCATAGAACCTTACCTCACTGTCCCATAGAACCTTACCTCACTGTCCCATAGAACCTTACCTCACTGTCCCATAGAACCTTACCTCACTGTCCCATAGAACCTCACCTCACTGTCCCATAGAACCTCACCTCACTGTCCCATAGAACCTCACCTCACTGTCCCATAGGACCTCACCTCACTGTCCCATAGAACCTCACCTCACTGTCCCATAGGACCTCACCTCACTGTCCCATAGAACCTCACCTCACTGTCCCATAGAACCTCACCTCACTGTCCCATAGAACCTCACCTCACTGTCCCATAGGACCTCACCTCACTGTCCCATAGGACCTTACCTCACTGTCCCATAGAACCTCACCTCACTGTCCCATAGGACCTTACCTCACTGTCCCATAGAACCTTACCTCACTGTCCCATAGGACCTCACCTCACTGTCCCATAGGACCTCACCTCACTGTCCCATAGAACCTTACCTCACTGTCCCATAGAACCTCACCTCACTGTCCCATAGAACCTTACCTCACTGTCCCATAGGACCTCACCTCACTGTCCCATAGGACCTCACCTCACTGTCCCATAGAACCTTACCTCACTGTCCCATAGGACCTCACCTCACTGTCCCATAGGACCTCACCTCACTGTCCCATAGGACCTCACCTCACTGTCCCATAGGACCTCACCTCACTGTCCCATAGAACCTTATCTCACTGTCCCATAGAACCTTACCTCACTGTCCCATAGGACCTCACCTCACTGTCCCATAGGACCTCACCTCACTGTCCCATAGAACCTTATCTCACTGTCCCATAGAACCTTACCTCACTGTCCCATAGAACCTTACCTCACTGTCCCATAGAACCTCACCTCACTGTCCCATAGAACCTCACCTCACTGTCCCATAGAACCTCATCTCACTGTCCCATAGAACCTCACCTCACTGTCCCATAGAACCTTACCTCACTGTCCCATAGGACCTCACCTCACTGTCCCATAGGACCTTACCTCACTGTCCCATAGGACCTTACCTCACTGTCCCATAGAACCTCACCTCACTGTCCCATAGAACCTCACCTCACTGTCCCATAGAACCTCACCTCACTGTCCCATAGGACCTCACCTCACTGTCCCATAGAACCTCATCTCACTGTCCCATAGGACCTCACCTCACTGTCCCATAGAACCTTACCTCACTGTCCCATAGAACCTCATCTCACTGTCCCATAGGACCTTACCTCACTGTCCCATAGAACCTTACCTCACTGTCCCATAGGACCTCACCTCACTGTCCCATAGAACCTCACCTCACTGTCCCATAGAACCTTACCTCACTGTCCCATAGGACCTCACCTCACTGTCCCATAGGACCTCACCTCTGCTCCACTGGCCCTGCCCTTTACTGTCTCTCCTGGATCAGAGCAGTGACAGAGCTGATGTAGGATCAGTCTTATTTCATGTTTCATATTTGGAAATGTGGACTTGTCTTTGCAGATTTAACACTTGTGCTATTGAGAAAGTACACAGAAGGACACACCCTGCTTACAACACATGGTCACTTTCAGCACTAAAAAGAAGAAACATTCAAAGAAAATGTCAGTTCTGTTACGTGGGCACTGCATTGAGAATCAAACAACACGATATTGAGACCCCTAACATGTATTAAAGTGGCTCTGGGCTCGAATACTGGGTCAAGCAAACAGAATAACTAGAAAATACAACTATACATAGCTTTTGATAAACATGACCACTAGATGGCAGCAGAACACACCAGAATTTACACTGTGTGAAAAGCACCTGAGTGTACTTCTCAGTCCGTTAGAAAGAGCATGGAATGATTGATAGTATTACATGTGATTGTCGTGATGGAGGAAGACAATTACATGTAATACTATAAATGCTTTAATATACAGTTATAGAACAGATTAAGATTAAGATTATGAGATCCTTTATTTGTCCCACAGTGGGGAAATTTCGGTGTTGCATCACGGGTTAAGTGAACAATAGCTATACTAAACAAAATAAAAATAATCTAACTCTAGCATCATTAATAATTATAAAATCTCTATCTTGAAAATATAATAGATGTAAAAATTTAAAATTGACAAAATAAGAGGCAAGTATAAAGTACTGTGTAATCTAGTGCAAGTAAAGTGTAGTTATATGTTAGCATCTGTACATTAGCAGCAGTATGTTTACATCTGTACATTAGCAGCAGTATGTTTACATCTGTACATTAGCAGCAGTATGTTTACATCTGTACATTAGCAGCAGTATGTCTACAACTGTATATTGGCAGCTGTGTATTGCACATTCTGGTATAAGGTAAGGATATTGCAACGACGCGAGAATGACACTGGAATCAAGTTGGCAGTGTTCAATAGTCCATATTGGTCCTTATTGTTTGTTGTACAGTCTGACAGCAGCAGGAAGGAAAGACCTGCGGAACCTCTCCTTCACACAGCGAGGGTGAATAAGTCTATCACTGAAGCTGCTCTCCAGAGCAGAGAGAGTGTCCTGCAGGGACCGACAGTCATGGTCCAGCATAGATGTTAGTTTGCTCAGGACCCTCCTGTCCCCCACCTGCTGCACTGTGTCCAGGGAACAGCCCAGGACTGAGCTGGACTTCCTGATGTTCCAGCTTCTTCCTGTCCCTCTCTGTGATGCTGCTGTTCCAGCAGACCACACCATACAAGAGGCTCCACCACAGAGTCATAGAAGGTCTTCAGGAGTGGCCCCTGCACTCCAAAAGACCTAAGCCTCCTCAGTAGGTAGAGGCGACTCTGGCCCTTCTTGAAGAGGGCGTCTGTGTTATGAGTCCAGTCCAGTTTGTGGTTCAGATGAACACCCAGGTACTTGTAAGAGTCCACTCTCTCAATGGGCCTCATTCACGAACGGTTCTTAGGAACAGATTTGTACGTAAATCCTACTTACGTGGTTTTTACGAAGAAAGTGGCATTCACGAATATTTCTCGTAACCAGAATTTCTCTTGGGCAAGTACAAATCCTACGAGTCCTCAGGAGCACTCGTACGCATTCAGTGCCGACATGTTCACAGCCGGGGTTGTCCTCTTTGGTGAAGTTGAATAAAAATACAACATTCCAGTGATATGTCCGTCATATCGATGTATGTATTTATTTATTTGTAGTAATCTTTATTAGTAATCTTTATTTATATACCGCCTTTTTCACTGCAGATCTGGCCTACTTTTTAATTCATTTTGAAATGAAATGTGCCAACGCTTTATCAAATACATTGGAAATCTTGCCGTGTACTAGTGACCCCTTCCTATTTATAGGGGGCATTTCTTGGGCCACAGAACAACGGCATATATACTGCTGCTGCAGGAGGCTGCGGGGTCCGCGCTGAGTCTCTGCGCTGGTCTCTCCTATGGATCTATACGGGTCTGCACTGGTCTCTCCTATGGATCTATACGGGTCTGCACTGGTCTCTCCCATGGATCTATACTGGTCTGCACTGGTCTCTCCTATGGATCTATACTGGTCTGCACTGGTCTCTCCCATGGATCTAGATGGGTCTGCACTGGTCTCTCCCATATACGGGTCTGCACTGGTCTCTCTCCATACGGGTCCGTGCTGCATGCTCCTGGATCCATACGGGTCCGCGCTGGTCTCTCAAGTCTGGTCTATGCGGTCTCTCTTCGGTCCGCGCTGGTCTCTGTGCACCGGTCTCTCCAGTCAGGTCACTCCAGTCTATGCGGTCTCTCCTATAGGTCCGTGCTGGTTTCTGTGTGCTGGTCACTCCAGTCTCTCCTCGGGTCTGCATTGGTCTCAGCGCTGGTCCGCGCTGGATCTCCTCCCAGGGTCCAAAATATTTTGAGATTAATCTCAAAACATTTTGAGATTCATCTTTAAAATAATACATAATATATTTTTAAATTAAGCTCATAACATTTTGAGATTAATCTCATCATATTCTTAGATTAATCTCATAATTTTGCTAGTTCGACTTTATTATCATAATATTTCGACTTTTAAGTCAACATTTTATAACTTTATTCTCAGTCTGGTAAAAGAAGAAAAAAGGGTGACTTATTTGCTCCGTGTAACTCTTTGCTTTAGGCCTGTTGCTGTTTCCTCTGCCGTCTGCACACGGCCCTGCAGCCCCTTATATGGGCATTAGTGGGCGGTTACTTATGCTAAGTACCTATGCTAATGAAGCACCGGGCACGCGCGCTCTACTTACGAGGAAATGGGATTCATCAATCTGAGAGAACAGCTGCGAACAATTCAGCGGCTTACGAGTGCGTTGATGAATCCCACGTGGGGACTTCTTAGAAATCTACTTAAGGACAACTTGAGAAGAAAGTTGAGTAGTTTCTTACGAAGTTATTCGTGAATGAGGCCCAATGTTCTTTCCCTGGATGTTCACTGGAGCTGGAGCAGCAAAGTGATGTCTGCGAAAATCCACCACCATCTCCTTGGTCTTCCCCGCGTTGATGAGGAGGTGGTTCATCTCGTTGGTCTTCCTCACGTTGATGAGGAGGTGGTTCATCTCCTTGGTCTTCCCCGCGTTGATGAGGAGGTGGTTCATCTCGTTGGTCTTCCTCACGTTGATGAGGAGGTGGTTCATCTCGTTGGTCTTCCTCACGTTGATGAGGAGGTGGTTCATCTCCTTGGTCTTCCTCACGTTGATGAGGAGGTGGTTCATCTCCTTGGTCTTCCTCACGTTGATGAGGAGGTGGTTCATCTCCTTGGTCTTCCTCACGTTGATGAGGAGGTGGTTCATCTCCTTGGTCTTCCTCGTGTTGATGAGGAGGTGGTTCATCTCCTTGGTCTTCCTCACGTTGATGAGGAGGTGGTTCATCTCCTTGGTCTTCCTCACGTTGATGAGGAGGTGGTTCATCTCCTTGGTCTTCCTCGCGTTGATGACGAGGTGGTTCATCTCCTTGGTCTTCCTCACGTTGATGAGGAGGTGGTTCATCTCCTTGGTCTTCCTCACGTTGATGAGGAGGTGGTTCCGCTGACACCAGTCCACAAAGTCCTGTATAACTCCTCTGTACTCTGCGTCATCGTCCTCGGAGCTGAGTCCGATGATGGCAGAGTCGTCAGAGAACTTCTGTAGAACACAACCCTCTGTGTAGTGTCTGAAGTCCGCAGTGTAGAGGGTGAAGAGGAACGGCGCGAGGACTGTCCCCTGGGGGCCCCCACACTGCAGGTCAGGACCTCCGACACAAAGTCCCTGGTTCTCACAAACTGGGGTCTGTCTGTGAGGTAGTCCAGGATCCACTGGGACAGGTCGTAGTCCACACCGGCTGTTTCCAGCTTGTCCCTGAGAAGCCTCGGCTGGATGGTGTTGAAGGCGCTGGAGAAATCAAAGAAGAGGATCCTCACAGTGGAGCCGGGTTTCTCCAGGTGGGACAGGGAGCGATGGAGGAGGGAGATGATGGCGTCCTCAACTCCGATGCCCGGTCGGTAGGCAAACTGCAGCGGGTCCATCGCTGGGCTCAGAGTGGAGCTGGATGTCCCAGGACCAGTCTCATGTCTTCATGCAGTGGGATGTTAGAGCCACTGGCCTGAAGTCGCTGAGGTCTTTGGCCCGTGGTCAACAGTAGGAAAGAAGAGCACACAGTACAAGATAAGTGAACAATAGCTATACTAATTAGAATAAAGTAAAATCTCTAAAATAAAGTAACTCTAGCATCAATAACAAGTCTCTATCTTGATAATAATAATAATAAAAAGAAGTATAAAGGGACATTTGGCAAAATAAGAGGCGACAGTGGCTCAGTTGGTAGAGCATTGGCCTTTGAGCCTGAAGGTCGTGGGTTCAAGCCCACCACGAGACCTACTTCACGACTCCAATTGATGTCTGTCCTTGGGCAAGACACTTAACCCCACTTTGCCTGAAGCCCCCGCTGAAAGATCTCAGCTCCTGTGGACTCAGCACCTGCAGGAGGATCAGTGAGGGGCTGGTGCTCTGTGGACTGGGGGCAGCTCTGACTGCCACCGCCTGACCCAGAAATGGATTAAGGGGAAGAAACATCTGTAGATTAGCAGAAGAGGAGAGGAGCAGGAGGAGAGAAGAGAGTTGCAGAGGTGGAGGTTATGGATCCAGTAAAATGGTTTAATGGTTCTTACATTCTGCTCCCCCCTGCTACTTCCACACCTCCATCACATTATTGGTCTAAATGTTTAGACCAATAATATACTAGAGGTGTGGAGGTCAACTTATTTCCCATGAATAACCTCCGTGGCCTCATGAGACAGACCTTATAATATTTTGTTCCCTTCCTGACCGCAAGTTTATTAAGCTGAAGGCAACAATAACATAATCACAGTATGTTCATTTTCAAACTCCAAGGCTGTATCCGAATGTCCACACTATACCCTATCCACTCACTCACTATATAGTTCGGGACTATATAGCGACTGAGTGAGTGAGTCAGTGCACTCATTCTGTTGGCGATTCGGACAGCTGCACACTATTTTTAGCCGCGGCCCGCATCACACCCCTGTCACATGTCATTGGATCAATATAATTTTATATATAAATAAAAGTATATTAAAATATCAATATTTGTCTAATATACATGTATAAAATGTTTTTACAATTTATATTCATATTTATGAATTTTGGTTGACTTATTCGCTTAACGTCTTTCATATTTTCGCCACCTGACCGGCTCCTCTAACACTGGTGAAATGGCACCTCCACTGAATTTTGCGGTGTTTTTGTTAACAATTATAAAACTTCTCATAATGCGAATTAAAAACCGCCGAACAGAGAGAAGGCGAAGACAGGCGATGAGGCGGAGGAGGAGAATGGCTCTTCGTTCATTAGCAAGGCGTCGTGTGAGTATTGTATTCGTCCTTTGTCTATATAGCATTAGCACCATCTACTGGGTAAATTATAGTACTTTTGGTGTACTTACTAATTCAAAATACTATTCTCAGTCAATGAGAAACACATTAGTCATATACATTTAGACATATTTCAACAAGAAAACACATTGTATAGACACACTCACTTAAAATGCAAGAACATTAAAATATTTTATTGGTTGAAAGAACACAAAACCATAGCAAGGGAAATGGATTAAGTACTCATTTTTTTCTAAATGAAAAATGAGTACTTAATCATTAAACAATAATAGAATTTACTTGGCCATGGGGCACAGGGCTTCTGTGATTTTTTTGTGTGTTATTAGGTGCGAGTGATGTAGTGAGGGTTTCTACTTCAGTTGTCTCAGGGCAGCTCCAGCTCCCTGCAACACACAATACATTTGGCAAAATCAATGCCAGGGCACAAAAGAACATGACTTCAGCTATATACTCTTCATTTTTATTTACATTTTTAAATCTCAAAATGAAAAATGAGTACTTATTCCTGTGTCTGCACTCATAACTAAAAGTGCAGATACAGAATTAAAAAATGAATCTAGAAGCATCATATTAAGTTTAAGAGAATTTTTGTTTTGTTTTAGGGTGTACTGCCGACTGAACCACCATGTACCCCTACTCAGCATGTACTTAAATGGCCAGTCTGACCTTCGCCCCGATTTTCGTTTCACTCGAACCACCATCACCCGTCTGGTTAGCCACCTGAGGAGTGCTCATCACCAGGGCTGGAGCCAGGACATGGAGGTTTTGGTCTTCCTCTTTTGGTTGGCCAGTGGCACCGCGTACCGTGTTGTCGCCAGGGCATTTGACATGCCCCAGTCCACAGTCCACGATGTGATCCACAGGGTGGCCAACCAGATCCTTCAAATGCGTGGCCAAATAATTCATTTCCCTTCCCTGGAGGAACTTCCCCAAGTTGTAGCTGGGTTTCAGTTGCTGGCTGGATCAGCTGCTCTCAATAATGTTGTGGGGAGCATCGACGGCTGCCACATCAGAATAAAGCCCCTTCAAGAGAATGCACAGTGTTATTTTAACAGGAAATTGTTTTATTCTATTCAAATGCAGGCTGTGTGTAATCACCGTGGCTTATTTATTGATTTGTTTGTTGGCTACCCCGGATCTGTGCACGATTCTCGAGTGCTTAAAAACAGCCCCCTCTACGTCCACCGGCTCTATCCCCCAAATGGACACGTCCTCCTTGGGGATGGGGGTTACCCTTGCCTCCGTCAGCCCATCACACTCCTCCCTCCATACAGAGAGCCTGTTTGGAGCCCAGTGGAAGCCCGCTTCAACCAGCACCATGCACGGGCACGATCTGTAACAGAAAGAGCGTTTGACATGATGAAAGCAAGATGGCGATCCATTTTTTTTAAGGCACTGGAAGTCCAACCCACCTTTGCAGTCGAGGTGACTGCCTGTTGCGCCATCCTGCACAACATCTGCGTCAGCGATGGTGATCTCTGGGAGCCAGTGGAAGAGGAGCCAGGGCCTGATGATGAGCAGGACCAGCATCAGCAGCACCAGCCTGATCAGCAGTGTGGACAGGAGCTGTGTGGACAGGAGCTGTGTGGACAGGAGCTGTGTGGACAGGAGCAGTGTGGACAGGAGCTGTGTGGACAGGAGCTGTGTGGACAGGAGCTGTGTGGACAGGAGCAGTGTGGACAGGAGCTGTGTGGACAGGAGCTGTGTGGACAGGAGCTGTGTGGACAGGAGCTGTGTGGACAGGAGCTGTGTGGACAGGAGCTGTGTGGACGGATGGCAGCAGCACTTTCCACCCCAAGGGCCAGGCTACCAGCTCTTCGGGACCACGACTATTAATTAAATGTTTGAATAATCTGTGTTTTGGCCTATTTAAATAAAAACAAAAACAATTGAATATGTAAATATCTAAAAAGAAATTGTTGAATGTATGTATAGTTTTCTTTACAAATGTCTAGTTGATTAAATTTTTTTTGTGTAAATAGTGTTCATCCTTGTATGTCGATATGCATAGAGTTCAAACTACACTTATCAAAATACATTTTTATCTACTATTTACAACTTCTCTCCAACAAACTCAACAGTCTCTCCTTTCTCTCTTCCTCTCTTCTTCCCCTCTCCTCTTCTCGCTTCTCCCTTTCCTCTTCCTTCTTCTCCACCTTCTCCAAAAAACTAATTCAACTCTCCCTCCTCGGCCTCTTGGCTGCCACACTGCTTTCCTCTTCCTCTTCCTCCTCTGGCTGTACGGGGGCAGGGGGTTGTTCCACAGATGTGGAAACGCCCTCCCCCATGGATGAGGCAATCAGGCAGGGAGGCTGCACGGATGGCCTATTGCCTCATCCATGAGGGAGTACCACTTCCAAGATATGGCGATGGGCTCCCCTCCTTCTGTCCCTGTCCCTGTCCGTGGCTGTCTGAGCTCCTTAAAACAGTGAGTTTTATATAATATATGCTTCACAAATTAGCTTCAAAGAAACAAACCTTGTAGGTCTTTTTCAGGTTCTCCCACTTCTTGGCCGCTCTGGCAGGGCTGATCAGGCGGCTCAGCCCCATTTCCTTTATTACTGCCCTAAAGTAACGATACATAAAAACATTTGAATATGAGTAGACGTTTTTTGAATAAGTATTTATTCATAATGGTCATACTCCCATCCAGCCGCCGAAGCAAATTTTTCACCCGCAGTCAGATGAGTCTCTCCACATCAGTGTCTGTCCCTTTAAAAAATATTAAACACACAATAAATGCTATACATATAACACAAGTGCTTTAATAACATTAATGACTGACCACCAGTGACCCGTTTCTGTAGCGTTCGCTTTAGATGTTAATGTTATGATATGCGAAAATGCTAACACTTTCGCGGCATAACATTGGTACGTTGTTTCGCAGTAAAAGGCAATGGTATTAAAATGTGTATTTTGGCAGCTTACCGTCAACAATATATCACTGTTTACACATTTACATATTTATGATGATTAAAAACTCACATTTATAGCTCATGTCCCGCTTCCCTTCCAGCTCGTCTCTCGCTGCCTCCGCCATTGTTCTTCCGTATAGTGACCACTGCTGCTCACTACATTTTCGAGATGCATTGTGGGAAAATTCCAGTGCACTACTTTTTCTCTCTGGACATTCGGACACCCCTACAAAATGGCGTGACCACTGTATAGTGCACTATATAGGGTATAGTGTGGACATTCGGATACAGCCCTTGGCTGAAGACGACCTTTGGTTCTCCCGGTTGCCTTGGTTACTACAACCGTAAACTGAACAAAAAGATGTTTCCCTAGAAGTCAGTGAAGTGAAGACTGCACTTTCGGCGGCTGTGTTTGTGGACGCAGACACTACACATGCAAATGCATTTCTTCCGTTCATTTCCAGTTATTTTCCTAAAAATGTGCACTCAAAATATATTTCAGCAAAATAGAGACTCCACTAGTTATCCACTCGATACCAGCAGTTGTTACAACTGTACAAACCACAGAAAATGAGCATTTTGACTCAGAATCAGTGAGGACTTACATGGTTCTGTGGGGCCATTCCATCCCAGAGTATGGCCCTGTTGTACTTGGTATATTGTGCCTGTCCTTAGGAACCCAGGACCTGGAGCTTTTCGGCTTTTATCTTGAGTAAAACCATAGACAGAACTGTAAGCAAACTGGTTGAGATGGTTGATAACTTCTTGGCATGTAGACAGATGGGAGACGTGCCTTTGTGAGAACACAGACTTTAACATGCTGATGTGGTTACCTCAGGCTGAAGAATCAGAACAAACTCCAAAGGATCCTGAACCAGAGCTCGAGGATCATTGAGCGGCCACAAAAACCTCTGCTGTTTGTTCCAGGAGTGCTTGGGAAAGAAGGCTGAGCCCATCATCAGTGATGCTTCCGCTAGTTTGAACTTCTGAAAGTGTTATCTTCAATGTTAAGTTAAATGTTAAAACATTAGAGATTATGACATTACAACCTAATTATAACATGAATCAATTTGCACAGTGCCATTTAAAGTCCGTTATGATATCCACCCAGTGTCATTGGTCCATTGGGCCTTTACTCTACACTAGAGGTCCACAGCCTTTGAGCGGACCCCCAGTCCGTCTGCTTGTGGTGGGGCGTGGCCTGTTAAAAATTATATTTTTGGTAAATAACCTTAGATTGTTCTGGTCAATAAAATATATAAATCAAAATGTATGTTATCAATTATTTTCCTAGTTGAATATTGTATTTATTTCCTAATCTTTCAGAAGGGTGCCTGTGGACTACCGTAGCTTCTGCCCAGTCAAACCAAACCTGTGGGGATATCTGCACCACGGACACGGAGGCCCCAGACATCAGTGCAAGTGACGTGTTAAGGTGTATTTCCCATTTACTATTCTGTATTTCTCTAATTAATATGGGAAAAGCATAGATGGCATGGGGAAAACTAAATCAAAATCAAAATGATTATAGACTTAGAAATTTCAAGCAAAATGTATAGTTGCTTGAATACAGAACAGCTTTAATAAAAGTCAATGTGGAGCTCTTAGAATCATTAATCAGATACATTTAAAACATGATCAAACTTGATTAAATTAGTTCTGAAGAAATATGTGGATGAAAAAGAGTGATGCCGTAAGCACCGAGCGAGGAATGGGGAGAGGTTGTTTGGGCCTGTGTGTGTGTGTGCGTGTGTGTGTGTGTGTGTGTGTGTGTGTGTGTGTGTGTGTGTGTGTGTGTGTGTGCGTGTGTGTGTGCGTGTGCGTGCGTGTGCGTGTGCGTGTGTGTGCGTGTGCGTGCGTGTGCGTGCGCGTGCGCGTGAGCGTGCGCGTGTGTGTGAGCATGTGCGTGTGTGTGTGTGTGTGTGAGCGTGTGTGTGTGTATTATGTTTTGTCTGTCTTATGCCATCTGTGGTAGTACCATGTACTGTATGGCTGTATGTACTGAACAGTTGTATATATTGTTATGGAATTGAATTGTGTGGTTTTGGAATAAAAACAAATAAGCATTGTGTGTGTCTGTTAGGTTGTTATACAGTCTATGGTTGATGTGATAATTGTGTGTGTCTGTTCGGTTGTTATACAGTCTATGGTTGATGTGATAATTGTGTGTGTCTGTTTGGTTGTTATACAGTCTATGGTTGATGTGATAATTGTGTGTGTCTGTTCGGTTGTTATACAGTCTATGGTTGATGTGATAATTGTGTGTGTCTGTTCGGTTGTTATACAGTCTATGGTTGATGTGATAATTGTGTGTGTCTGTTAGGTTGTTATACAGTCTATGGTTGATGTGATAATTGTGTGTGTCTGTTCGGTTGTTATACAGTCTATGGTTGATGTGATAATTGTGTGTGTCTGTTAGGTTGTTATACAGTCTATGGTTGATGTGATAATTGTGTGTGTCTGTTCGGTTGTTATACAGTCTATGGTTGATGTGATAATTGTGTGTGTCTGTTCGGTTGTTATACAGTCTATGGTTGATGTGATAATTGTGTGTGTCTGTTATGTTGTTATACAGTCTATGGTTGATGTGATAATTGTGTGTGTCTGTTCGGTTGTTATACAGTCTATGGTTGATGTGATAATTGTGTGTGTCTGTTAGGTTGTTATACAGTCTATGGTTGATGTGATAATTGTGTGTGTCTGTTCGGTTGTTATACAGTCTATGGTTGATGTGATAATTGTGTGTGTCTGTTAGGTTGTTATACAGTCTATGGTTGAGGTGATAATCTTTTGGTATCACCAGTTGAAAGGGCTGATTGTTCTCGGCTCGGGCAGCTGAGAGATCACCCTAACCTTAAATAAAATTCCAAGTCTATTAATTCAAGTCACCATGTGACCATCGATAAGCCTGTGGTTGTGGAGTGGGACGCTTGAAACGAAATATGTTTAGGACTCCATTCTATACACGTAGGCAGGTCAGAGACACGTCCAGTGGATAGCACTCTCGCTTCTCAGCAAGAAGGTCCTGGGTTCGAATCCCGGTCGGAACAGGGCCTTTCTGAGTGGAGTTTGCATGTTCTCCCTGTGTCTGCGTAGGTTTCCTCCGGGTGCTCCGGTTTCCCCTACCACTAAAAACATGCACAATAGGTCTGAATGTAAATGAGAGAGTGAATGATGGTGTTGGAGCTGATGGTCCAGTGTGTTCTGGACTCGCTTCTGTCATCACCGTGTGTGGAAGGATTGGAACAATATCTGACTCTGAACATTGGAAAGTGCTTTGGGTCTGTACCTTGGTCTGTACCTTTGGGTCTGTACCTTTGGGTCTGTACCTTGGTCTGCAAAATGTAAGTAAGTAAGCTTTATTTATATACCGCCTTTCTGGCCCGGACTGGCCATCGGGAGCATCGGGAGATCTCCCGGTGGCCTGCGTGTCAAAGTGGCCTGGGCCTGCCCTATCATCACGGTCTTTTTTTTTTTGTTTTTTTTTTCTTTTAATTTAATTTCATCCTCACGGTCTTTGCAAACTCCTACCCTGCCTGGTGGCCTGGTCCAATGAGCAAGGCCCAGGCCAAAGCCAGTGTTGTGCGTGAACGAGTTCAAAAGAACGCGTTCATTGAACACGCTCATTTTTTCGTGAACGTTGAACTGAACGCAACACATTTTTAATAAAGAACTTGAACGTGAATTAGTTCATATTATGTGTCATGAACGGCAGACAATTTGTTTTCCATTTAAAACTGAGTGAAATCTGTTTTCTCTTTTGAAACGCAACGAGAGAAAGTTCCTCCCTCCTGTATTCTCCGCACTGTTTCCGCCGAAAACTAAAAATTCCTACGGTTTCCACCGTCTGTGAACGCACCCCGACTCAGTGTACTTGCGGTGCGGCGCTGTATGCTAGTGCTATTCATTGGTTGTTGGACTCACATGTGCCGTGATGAAAACACAGGGGTAAGTCAGTGACACAGGGCCGTTTACATTTGACATAAAGTATAGACACACGCACTGCAGCGCATTACAGTTTGTACTTACGAGCAGAGATGGGACAACTCAGTTCCCATTGAAACCCATGTAAATCTTGTCTGCATTGGAGTCAAAACTCCCTGTGCAGTGTACAGGATATAATATATAATTATATATATAATATATATATATATATATACCACGTATTGTGATTTCTAGCTCGTAGTGAAAAAAAAATATTTATTTGAATATCTCGCAAAAAGTAAAATGAACTAAACTTTGAACTAGTTCAGAATTAAAATTGAGAACTTCGAACGTGAACTGTTCACTTTGAGCATGTATGAACTGAACTTGAACTAGTTCAGAAAAGCTGTGAACTGGCACAACACTGGCCAAAGCTTTACTGTCAAACAGCAAAATTAAACAAATGTGACGTCACACGTCGGCTACACAGCCAGGCCAGCCTAGCAGTGCACCCAGTGTAGCTTCCCCAGCCTAGCAGTGCACCCAGTGTAGCTTCCCCAGCCTAGCAGTGCACCCAGTGTAGCTTCCCCAGCCTAGCAGTGCACCCAGTGTAGCTTCCCCAGCCTAGCAGTGCACCCAGTGTAGCTTCCCCAGCCTAGCAGTGCACCCAGTGTAGCTTCCCCGGTTGAAATGAGTGGTCTCTCCAACTGATGGTTCATACACGTTTTTATTTTTCCTTTTATATGAGCTGTAACGATGTGATTTTACCTTACTACTTTTTTAACAATAATTGATTAGCTTGTTATAGTTATACACTAATGAACACTTAGTTCATTGTGTGTGTGTGTGTGTGTGTGTGTGTGTCTTTATTCTCACTAAACTCCATAAACGTTACGTTGCTAAGCAACGTACAACAATCCTTAAACGTCCAAGATTATATAAACAGTCAATATAAAAAAAAATAAAGAAAACAAAAGTTTTGACAGTCAATCTTAAAACTATTAAAAGAACATCAATACAATGACAAAAACCCAAATTTAGAACCTTGTTTGGCCTGAATGGATGAAAAGCTCCCGGCCTGAAATGTTGTCCCACTCCGGCCCTGCCGCCTTTCACAGACCAGAGTCTCAAAGCGGTTTACAATTGTTAATTTTGGGCATTTGTCTCTCACTCCACACAGAGATGGGAGCGGGGCCAGTACAGGAGGCGCATGCCAGAACTATTGTACATATTTTTAGTGGTAGGGGAAACCGGAGTACCCGGAGGAAACCTACGCAGACACAGGGAGAACATGCAAACTCCACTCAGAAAGGCCCTAGTCCGGCCGGGATTCGAACCCAGGACCTTCTTGCTGAGAGGCGAGAGTGCTATCCACTCAGCCACCGTGCCGCTCAAATGTGCTATATAAATAAACATTACTTACTTACAAAGTCCAGTCAGAGGCACGTCCCAGCGCAGCACGGCCCGCCCCTCTCCGTTTGCGTCTGTCCAATCCAGAGCCTTGTCCCAGAGACCGAACTCCAGGACGCACCGAGAGCAGCGAAACTCCCACAAACACATGTCCGCCGCCTGCGCTCCGCTTCCCGTCACTCCCTCCTCTTCCCCGGAGGATTCCCCCCGGACATCGGAGCTCTTTTGCCGGTCCTGGGACGCGCGCTGCTGCCATGGATCCACGGCTCTAGCTCGGGTCTAGCTCGGTGGACGCATGAGATCGCCCGGTTGGGTCTGCTTTGGGTTTGGCGATCGCAGCGGTGCCACGGACGCGTGAAACAATGCCCGTGAGAACCAAGTATAATCTGGTGGACGACGCGCACGATTTAAGGATTCCATTGCACAACGAGGAGGCGTTCCAACATGGGATTAACTTCGAAGCAAAGGTAGAAGTGCAGTCATGTCTACTCCTACTTATACTACTGCTACTGTTACTGCTACAACTACTCATACTCCTGCGTGAATATTCATGTGTGGATCCATGGGTAAAAAATATAATCAATTACGCATAGCTAAAGTTGAATATTTGTCCTGCCTAGTGCTGTGGTATATGGCTGGGCTCGGGGTAGGGCAATGGTTATAAATGACACATAATAGTCATTTATGGCATACATTTCAACATTACACTGCTATTCTACAGAATCAATTCCCAGTTCTGCTTTCCTAAGTATATATTACCTAAAATATACGGTGTAATGTTGACACTAAAGTGAACGTTTTTCTGAGACTAAGAAATCTCACTGACATTTCGTGCATTCCTTGGTTCCTCCAGTTTAAGAAAGATTGATTATACATTGTTAGAATGGTTTGTGGACCTCCTTGTTTACCTGGAGCAGTCCCAGATCCATGGTATAGTCCAGACATGGGCAAACTTTTCCTCCTGAGGGCCACATTGGAGATTAGGTCCGGTCTGATATTCCAATGTTTTTCTCAGGCTTCATTTTAAAACACAAATGTAATGTTTAAATAAATAAAAATAGCTCTGCACACAGCACAGAGGGGGATTGTATGATGTTTAAACTGAAATTACCCCACTGTGGGATGAATAAATGGTCTTAATCCTAATCTCTCTTGATCTTAATCTTAATCTATACAAATTGAGGAGGGCTCAGGGGCCTGATAGAAGCATCCAAAGGGCCACATCTGGCCCACGGGCCGGGGTTTGCCCACCACTGGTATAGTCCCATGGTCCAGTTTATTTACACAACTATAGCTGTGTCTTGGCACCAACCAACTCCTTTGACTAATCCGACTCTTCCAACAGTTACATTGTTTAACAGGAAGCTGCCTTTAAAAGTCACTCAGAGATAAAACATGTGAAACTTGAACCATGAACAAAACTTACATTTATCAACATTTACGGACATTGGTCACATGCCCCTTATGTTAGTAATGATTATTTATACAGCGCATTGTACAGACCAAGGTCACCCAAAGCGCTTTACAATGTTCTAGTAAGTAGTAGTAGTAAGTAATCTTTATTTATATACCGCCTTTTCACTGCACATCGGAGTCTCAAAGCGGTTTACAATTGTTATTTTTTTTGGGATTGGGGTCGCCAGTACAGGAGGCACATGTCAGACCTATTGTACATATTTTTAGTGGTAGGGGAAACCGGAGCACCTGGAGGAAACCTACGCAGACACGGGGAGAACATGCAAACTCCACTGAGAAAGGCCCTAATAGACCAATGGGTTTTATCATAGCATTTCTTGACTTTGAACTGTTTAATTCTCTGATCTGTGAAGGTGAAGTCCTCTGAGATAACTACTGTTGTGATTTAGAATGATACAAAAGGTCCTGGGTTTGAATCCCGGTCGGAACAGGGTCCACTCAGGGTCTGAGTGGAGTTTGTGTCTGTGTAGGTTTCCTCCGTGTGCTCCGGTTTCCCCTACCACTAAAAACATGCACAATAGGTCTGAATGTAAATGAGAGAGTGAATGGATGGTGTTGGAGCTGATGGACCAGTGTGTTCTGGACTCGCTTCTGTCTCCAAAGGCAGTGTGCATCTCTGTAATGTTTATTTATATAGCACATGTTACAGACCAAGGTACAGACCCAAAGGTACAGACCCAAAGCACTTTCCAATGTTCAGAGTCAGATATTGTTCCAATCCTTCCACACACGGTAATGACATGGGATTTTCAACTGATTTGAACAATTCTTTCAGGAGTGCATTTTCCCAAACGTAATGCCGTAATGTGCAGCATCTGACAAAAGAATCAGAGCATTAAATGTACTTGTTTCTCTGATAGGGTGAGGAGCTCAGATTACAGCCACTGCTCCTCAATGTTGAGCTAGCTGGAGGAAGTGTCTAGGGGGTGATAGAGGTTTTTGAGGTCCTTGAAATGCTAGATGAAATTGATAGATATTTTAATAAAGGTGACACAGTCTGGACCTTATTTGATCTCAAGTAATTTTTAACAGCAGTTTGTATTTGTCTCTTCTATAGACACTTCCTGTTTCTTCTGATTGGTTCTTTAGCTGTTTTGAAATGACAGTGAAATGGAGTGAATCTGGCTGCTCAGGCTAGCATCTTTTGTCATTCATAGCCTCACCCGGGAGTAATGGCAGAATATTTTGCTTAAAAGTCCCCAGAGCACTTATTTGAAGTTAGTGGAGCCACATGTGGAAGTTTGTTTTGTTTACTACTTTGTTATAGTTAAATATATTTTAAATGTCCCCCACTGGTGTCAGAGATTCTCACTGTAGAGCAGACAGAAGTCATGTCAGTAAAGCACAATTACATTTTACATGAATTATCAATATCAGAGCTAATAATTGATGATGAACCATGTATCCCTGCAGTATATCGGCAGTCTGGACGTGGCGCGACCCAGCAGTCGAGTGGAGATAGTGGCCGCCATGAGAAGGATCAGGGTAAGCCCACTACTGCTGTTACTACTGCTGTTACTACTGCTGCTACTACTGCTGCTACTACTGCTGCTACTACTACTGCTGTTACTACTGCTGCTACTACTGCTGCTACTACTGCTGCTACTACTACTGCTGTTACTACTGCTGTTACTACTGCTGTTACTACTGCTGTTACTACTGCTGCTACTACTGCTGCTACTACTGCTGCTACTACTACTGCTGTTACTACTGCTGCTACTACTGCTGCTACTACTGCTGCTACTACTGCTGCTACTACTACTGCTGTTACTACTGCTGCTACTACTGCTGCTACTACTGCTGCTACTACTACTGCTGTTACTACTGCTGCTACTACTACTGCTGTTACTGTCCTGTGTATGAAAGGCGCTCTACAAATAAACTTTGATTGATTGATTGATACTACTGCTGTTACTACTGCTGTTACTACTGCTACTACTACTGCTGTTACTACTGCTGTTACTACTGCTGTTACTACTGCTACTACTACTGCTGTTACTACTGCTGCTACTACTGCTGTTACTACTGCTGCTGCTACTGCTGTTACTACTGCTGTTACTACTGCTGCTACTACTACTGCTGTTACTACTGCTGTTACTACTACTGCTGTTACTACTGCTGTTACTACTGCTGCTACTACTACTGCTGTTACTACTGCTGTTACTACTGCTGTTACTACTGCTGTTACTACTGCTGTTACTACTGCTGCTACTACTACTGCTGTTACTACTGCTGTTACTACTGCTGCTACTACTACTGCTGTTACTACTGCTGTTACTACTGCTGTTACTACTGCTGTTACTACTGCTGTTACTACTGCTGTTACTACTGCTGCTACTACTACTGCTGTTACTACTGCTGCTACTGCTGTTACTACTGCTGTTACTACTGCTGTTACTACTGCTGTTACTACTGCTGTTACTACTGCTGCTACTACTGCTGCTGTTACTACTGCTGTTACTACTGCTGCTACTACTGCTGCTGTTACTACTGCTGCTACTACTGCTGCTACTACTGCTGCTACTACTGCTGTTACTACTGCTGTTACTACTGCTGCTACTACTGCTGCTGTTACTACTGCTGCTACTACTGCTGCTACTACTGCTGTTACTACTGCTGCTGTTACTACTGCTGCTGTTACTACTGCTGTTACTACTGCTGTTACTACTGCTGTTACTACTGCTGTTACTACTGCTGTTACTACTGCTGTTACTACTGCTGCTACTACTGCTGCTACTACTGCTGTTACTACTGCTGCTACTACTGCTGCTACTACTGCTGCTGCTACTACTGCTGTTACTACTGCTGTTACTACTGCTGTTACTACTGCTGCTACTACTGCTGCTACTACTGCTGCTGTTACTACTGCTGTTACTACTGCTGTTACTACTGCTGCTACTACTGCTGCTGTTACTACTGCTGCTACTACTACTGCTGTTACTACTGCTGTTACTACTGCTGTTACTACTGCTGTTACTACTGCTGTTACTACTGCTGCTACTACTGCTGTTACTACTGCTGCTACTACTGTTACTACTGCTGTTACTACTGCTGTTACTACTCCAATAGCTTTAGGACGACTACTACTACTACTGCTACCAAGGGGTGGGCAAAATATATCGTAGACAATAATATCACATGATCACAGTGAAGTAGACTCTTTTAAGCCTAACCCTAAATCTAAATTAGGGTAAACCCTTCAACTGTGTGCGCTTGATTTTCTCCCATTTGTGAAAATGATGAAGTCAAGTGAAGGAGGCTCTAAGGACGGGATGCTTCGGGACAATTATCCATTTGTGGGCGGCACGGTGGCCTCCTGTACCGGCCCCGCCCCCATCTCTGTGTGGAGTGAAATGCCCACAACTGTAAAACCGCTTTGACTCTGGTCTGGGAAAGGCGCTATATCAATAAACATTACTTACTTACTAAATCAGATTCAGTTTATTTGCCATTTGCAGTAAAAAAAAACACATTAGAATACATCAGCAAAAAGTCCCCAGTGTGCACAGACAAATACAGACATTACACAACATTAAAAGTACAGACATTAAACAGATAAAACAGTAAACAAATGTCACTGAGAAAACGACTAAAACAGTTTCAGTACAAGTGGAAGAACCTTAAAGTGCTCTGTTCAGACTGATAACATCCTGTGGGAAGACGCTGTTGGCGTATCGAGATGAACGTCGGTCGAATCTATCTTTACCAATGGACAAAATACACTGTTTTTAGATTTGATGTAAAATATGTTAACACCATTATCTCTGGGCTGCATTCTAAAGCCCGTGTGTGGTTTGTTAAACTCATGTCACTTCTGGTTTCAAACCATAATGTGCTTTAAAGAAATTAAAGAGTCACTGCAAAACTTTTAGATATATATAATTGCTTGAATTAAGTCGTTTTTAATCTGTCCTTACAAAATTCTTACGGGCAGATTGTAGTTGTGCAACATATTTTGACATTTAATAAATTATTAAAAATGACTCGTCTCATTTTTAAGATGATTCTGTAACAAGATCAACTATACTTAAATATAAATCCATACACTCAGTCAAGCGAGAATTTACCAAGTCTGTGCCTCTTTATCCTTGTTTTAACCTCAACTTAATCTTAACTTTCTTAACTCATTGACTGCCAGCCATTTTTCATGATTTCACTGATTCTCAAGACCCATAGAATATTATTTCCTAAGACTATGTAAAATGTGAAACCAGATTCTGAAAGACTGGATTGTATAGAGGGTCTGAGACAAATATGTCAATGGCTGTCAATGAGTTTAACTTGATCATTGCCATCACTAAAAATAGAGATTTCAATTTAATTGCGTTTATCATACAGCCCAATACCGCATTACAGCCCCAAAGTTAGGCAAGGCAAGGCAAGGCAAGTTTATTTGTATAGCACAATTCATACACAAGGCAACTCAAAGTGCTGAACAAGATAGCATTAAAATCATAAATAATCACAGAACATTAGAAAGAAAGATAAAAATATAAAATCCCTCAGTTGTATGCACAGCTAAACAGCACCGTTTTTAACCTGGTTTTAAACATAGTCAGAGAGGAGGCCTGTCTCACATCTTAAGGAAGAATGTTCCAGATTTTAGCAGCATGAATCTGAAAAGCAGCCTCCCCATGTTTAGTTCTGACTCTGGGCACTAACAGTTATCAACCTAATGCAAAGTTACTCTGATAATCTTAAAAGTCTCTACAACATGGGAGTGACCATGTTGTGCGTCGCTGCAGACTGTGGATAAAAGCCCAACCTGACTCTCTCTCTTCACACGTAAACGCAGTAAACGCTGTGTCCCAGTCAGGCCATGTGATCGGGGGCATTGTTCTGGCACTTCCCCTTCGTGGAGCTGCTTCCTGAGGGCGGCACAGACTCTCCAAGCCATGCCAGAGGAAAGGGTTTGCGCGGCACAACGCTTGTATCCTGGAGCCCGTACACGCATCTGCTCTTTTACGAGGCTACAAAAGCTGGCCATTCATTTTATTGTGCAGACAGGTAGACAGGTGTCCCCGGGGTCTTTGCAAAAAATAAAAAAAACAGTTGATGAAGCTAAAAACTAGGCCTTAAAAGCTTTATATTTAATGAAAAGGGCATTCCATTTGGGGGATTGTGGCATTTAACCTGAACCCTACCCAACTTTTTCCCGAATCCATTCTGGTTTTCTTAACAGAGTCTTGTGAAAGTAAAATATTACAAACGAATCATACCACATTCATTCTAAATATAATACGTTAGTGAAGTTGTGCTATATGTAGGAATTGTGAGTCATGAGAAGGAAGTGGAATGCAATCACAAAGTAAACAGGAAGTAAGGGTTCAGGCCTAACAGGACTTTATCAGTGCCTCTTTGAACAATGGTCGTGTCCCAAATCTTTACCCTTGTCTCCTAGAGTCAGAGATTCCTCCATTCCTCCATCCAAGTGTGTGAGGATGTTTACCCAACCAAGGAGTTACCGAGGTGACATTTCAATCTGGAGAGACTCGAACAGACACAACATGGGTATTAGATATAAGTTATCTGACACTACATGAATTACACTTATGACAATGAGAATATTTTCAGATTACATTTATTGTGCTGAACAGAATATAGTTAGGATAGTTAAGACTTAGATCCTGGCAGAGCACTGCTTGATTGCAGAAGGGGAAAGAGATTATCAGATCAAATCCCCCGGGGCCTAGACCCTGGTGGTGGTAGGCAGGAGAAGAAATGGAGGAGCTGGCCTAGATCGAGGCGGAGATGGGGAGGAGGAGGGTTGCGGCGTGATTGAAGCAGCTACTTGGATGAAGCTTTGAACGTTATGAAGCTGGAATGGGCAGTGTCGGATTGCTGCCAGGTGAATTGTCTTCCAGTCTGAATTTGCGCTTAAACTTAATTTCAATCTGGAGAGACTCGAACATACAAAACATAGGCATTAGAATTGTATGTTGTTTGGAAAGTAATGTGACACTACATGAATCACACATATGACAATGAGCCATGGTCAGAGGAGTAGGAGGAGCACACATTAGTGGTGGGGGGGAAAAAAATAATTAGGTTCTGTATTGATGTACTGGGAGCTCTCCGTTCATGTGAGAGGAGAATAATGTCTTGTCCTGTAATAAGGTCCTGTGTCCTGAATGTTCAGGAAAAGGATAAAGTTTTTGCACTTCAGTAATTGTGCTGACCATAATAAATGTGAGTTGAGCAGTAACTTTAAAATGTCTTTGAAGAATAAGAGGAACATGAATTGTTATATATCGCAGAATAAAATCATAATACTTGTGATATTGCAATATGTTAAGAATAGCAATTATATAATTATACTAATAATATCAGCATCTGAACGCCTGAACAAGGTGGTCTCGGAGAAGCTCCACTGCAGTCTGCTCTGGGCCGAGTATTCTGTGAAAGTGGGCAAAGTCAAGAATACCTAACAACCTGACACATTATTAGCATTTGAGTTACTGGAGTGGAATCCACCAAGTCTTAAA